ATGTCAAACTTTGATGAAATTCACTTTCTTCAATTTGCTTACCCTCTCACCTTTACGAATTTACTCATTACTTATTTGAAATAGAATAGAATGCTTATAATCTTAAAATAATCTTATTCCCGAACTTACGTCGATTAACTTACGACGGAACTTTAACGTACGAAATATGCGGGATGTAACATCTCATTTATGAGCTTTCATCAATTTACTTATAACGTACTTTCACGTGCGAAAACATGGGGCGTAACAAAATCCACCCCCAAATGGAGAAGCAAACACATGAAATAAGCACAAAGAATCTCATCCTAACATAACCCCACTACGGCACATAGCTTTGTCCAAACATACCGATTCACATGGAATACCCATTGAGCCATAATGCTCACAATCAATAACCACATGTGTATCAACAACAAAAACGCAAAAATGCATGACCATAACCATAGAGAAATGGATAGCACAATATGCCACCGATAGGAAAAACATGATTAAGGTGCAATGAGCAACTCAACATCCCAAGAGCCATCCCGCTCTAAATCTCGACACCAGGACTGAATAAAACCACATCATACGTGTGAATAGCCAAGTAGTCTCACAACCCATTGTCGCATAAGAACGCAACATATAAAACAAATCAGGGCATGAATAACATCCTTTTCGACCCGATGACACACCCATAGTAAATGATGCACTAGAGTGAGCAAACCCGATCCGACGCCGGATGCACATTCTCATTAGGCCTAACAATGAGCCCCCAAATCATTGATGCTACCTGTATGTGAGTTTATTATTTTATGACTTGCAGGATTGGTTAGTTTCACTTTTTGATGTTTTAGAGATTGGAGGCACTTAGTCTTATTTTGAAAGCTTAAGTTGTAAGAGTTAACTAAGGTCTGACTTTTAGTAGAAAAAGGTGGAAAGATGATTCGATAGTTTCTGTAGGTTTATATGGTAATTTTGGACTTATGAATATGTCCGCATTTGGATTTGGAGATTCCTAGAACATTTTGGCACTATTTTCCAAAAGTTGAAAATTTGAAGGTTTAGAGAGTTTATACGTTTGACTGGTAGTTGGATTTGGATTTATCAGGTTTTGATTAGTGTTCGGGGACTTTAGATTGGTTTATTTGGGTGTTTGAAACTTGTGTATGAAGTTTCGTTGGAATTTAGAATGTTTAGACAAAGCTATGACATGTGTCACGACCCAAGATCCCACCTTAAGGATCGTTATGGCACCCAGTCTCTAAGACTAGGTAAACCTAATACATGATGAGATTAACAGAACAAAACAACTTAGCTATTAAATAAAAATGGATAAATGACATAACATAGTCAAAAAATGATCAACATTCATACATCCCAAAATCGGTGGTACAAAGTCATAAGCTATACTGAGAATACAGTAAAAATCTCGAAATACAACACTGTTCTAGAATACAAATAACAATAATAAGGAACATCAATAGAAGGTGACTCCGAGGCCTGCATGCAGAACAACATCTATACCTTGAAGTCTCCAAAATTCAACTCAAAACTTTAGCGACCAGCACAATCCGAGGTACCTGGATCTGTAAAAAAATATGCAGAAACGTAGTATGAGTACACCACAATCGATACCAGTAAGTATCAAGACTAACCTCGGTGGAGTAGTGACGAGGTTCAAGTAAAGACACTCACAAGACAATAACCTGTGCAGAATATCAATACAAAACCAAAAACGGGAAACATAACCAATTAAATAGCAACAAAGAATAGGCATGTGATAACACGATAATGTTAACTAATACATGTAAACCACAAAGTGAAATCAATGAAGGAAACAATGATATACTCAAATCATCAATCCATTCCAACACGAGAAAAACAATAATCACCCCAATGTACCACATATGGTAATCACAAATCACAAGTCACCCTTATGATGTCGCACAAGCTTCACATTTAAAATATTTTCCCTATATAGCTTCACGCGCATAAGTCCCCTTATCTCGCCGCGTGTGCATCACTATGAAGTATTTTTGCTTACTAGCAACACACGCGTAAGCCCCGTATCTCGCCACATGAATATCAATATACACACCACCCTTATGTCACTGCATGCGCATCTCATTCACAATACAAAAACCAACTGCACCACATGTGCACATTTGCCACAACGTCGCTCAAACAACAATACTAAAGCCACAATAATACATACCCACGACTCAACAACAATATGAGCAAGAATCACAAGAATAACACAAGGGTACGAGGAATGAATCAACTATGAAATGTGCTCCATATAATAACAACTTCAATTTAAGGCATATTAATAGCCTACGGGTCTAATTCAGTCAATTACCAGATACGTCCGTGTACACACTCGTGACCTTATGTACACATTATTCCACATAGTTCAAGTAGTGCAATTAGAGAAAATCCTAAGGGGTAATCCCCCACACAAAGTAAAGCAAGATACTTACCTCAATTAGGCTAATTCAATACTCTAAAAACACTTTTCCTCTCAAAATTCACCTCCGCTTGGCTCAAATCTAACAATAAAAATGACTTAATATTATCAAACAATGCAAGAGAAACTAATATCAATTAATAAAGCTAAGATCTTACACAATTCCCCAAAAGTCAATAAACGTTAACCCCGGTCTTGCCCAGGCAAAACCTGAGTCGAAGGTGGATCTCCACTGCCAATAACCCTACTAGTCCATATATGTGTTTTATTTTTAAATTCGAGTCCAATTCGACTCTCAAATCTCATATTTTCATTTTTCAAAATATAGTCAAAATTTCTCTTCAAATCTCATGATTTAGATGTCAAATCTCATGAATAATCATGTTATATAATAAAAATTGAGTTAAAAGTACTTACCTAATAGATTTGTATGAAAATCTCCTCCTAAAATCGCCTAGCACCTAGTCTAGGTCTCAAAATATGATAAATGAGACTAAGTCACGAAATCCCAAACTTTTGTTCAGCTGCGGATGTCGCAACTGCGACTTGGGGTTCACAAATGCGAACCCTCGCAAATGCATGGAAAAAATATCGCAAAAGAGGCGCCTACTGATTGATCCCAGGAAATGTCGCAAATGCGAACCTGACTTCCCTTTTGCGAAGTCAAGCCTCTTCGCAAAAGAAAGCCTATGATCGCGAAAGCGATCACCCCTGCCAATGTCCCCAATCGTAAAACCGATAAAAAGTTCACAAATGCAAACATTGCAGCCCCCCAGCCTACCTCACAAATGCGACGCACCGCAAATTCGAACAGGATCTCGCATTTGCGAGACCTTCAACATCAGTCTTGCACCAGCATAATCTGAACTCTATCAAAATACTCTGTAACACGTTTGAAACTCACTCGAGCCTCCAGGGCTCCACACCAAATATCTACACAAGTATAAAAATATCATATAAACTCGCCCGCATGCTCAAACACAAAAATAACATTCGTAACCACGAATCGGATACCAAAACTCATAGGATTCAGAATGTAATTCAAGAAACACTAAAATCACAACCAAGTGTCTGATTCCTATCAAACCAACTCATAATGACACCAAACTTTGTAGACATGTTCCAAATAATAAAACGGACCTGTTCCAAGTCCCAAAACCAAAATTCGAACCCGATATCAATAAATTCAACCCTCAGTAAAACCTATCAACTTTCCAAACCGTCAATTTTTTCAACTTTCGCTAATTCAAGCCAAAACAACCTAGGAACCACCAAATCCAAATCCAGACATATGCCTAAGTCCAAAATTACCATTCGAAACTACTAGAACCATCAAAACACCATTTTGAAGTCATCTATAAAAAAGTCAAACTCCGATTCACCAAATAGGAAAAACGGGGTAAAATACACAAAATGACCGGCCGGGTCATTACATTCTCCCCCTCTTATATAAACGTCTGTCCTCGAACGAGTATAGAGATATACCTAAAGTGCCAAAAAGGTGAGGATATCGGTTCCGCTTATCATGCTCGGTCTCTCAAGTTTCCTCCTCGACCGATTGACCTCTCCGCTGAACCTTGATTGATGCAATGTTCTTCAACCTCAACTTTCAGACCTGCCTGTCTATAACAGCCACTGACTCCTCAACATAGGTCAAATCCTTTTCCAATTGCATTGAGCTGAAATATAACATATGTGACGGATCACCATAATACTTCAGGAGCATGGAAACATGAAAAACAAGGTTAAGTCTCGATAATCTGGGTGGCAAAGCTAGTCTCATATTTAAGAAAAATAAAACGATAAATAATCGAAAAACTGAAAAATCAACAAAAACCGAATCAAGAAAAAACGATTTAATTGGTTTGGTTTGGTTCCAATATTTGAAGAACCGACTTACTTGGTTTGGTTTCTTTTTAAGGAAAAACTGATCCAAACCGAACCATGAATACCCCTATATTCTGGCCACAAATAGCTTCTTAAAATAGGACATCTGAGTCTGATGGAGTGACAGATTCAGAATTTTCACTAAGAAGAGTCAAAATATAGATAAACAAACATCAAAAGAGAATAAGGGGATTCTAACATAACTTTTTTTATCCGTCTATCTATCTATATAGTGTAAATTTTCAGCGAAAGAGTGTCAATCAACTCCACTGGCAAAGATTGAATGGGACAATTGGTTGATTAGTGAGTTATTTACCTTGAGAAACATGGATCAATTCCCACTTAATACTTTTTTTTAGTGGTGCACCAATGTTCAACAAATCCTAGATCCGTCTCTGCCACTACACTGGTAAGTTTATACTCGAGAGTCATTGAATCAACCTTCCCAAATCAAACACCGAACAATAATTTTCAATTTTTCTTTGTAAAGCTTGTTCGTTAAAAGAAATCCCAAGTGAAAAAAAAAAGGAAAACAAAAAAGAGGTATATATACCAACAAATTATAAAATACATGCTGGAAGAAGAGTCACAGTTACACTTGCGGATACAATTTATTAGTAGAGGAAAAGGAAAAATTATTTATCTATACAAGCATCCTCTATATGATGGGATCAAATAGTCAGATCCATTGTTACTCTCACGATAAATTTGAGGGGTACATGCAATTGGTACTAAACAAAGACCTCTACTTCTCAGATCAACGTCTTTTCTGTCAAATCCTCCCCAGCGTTCCTGAATTATCAACAAGCATTAACATTGATATTATTTTTAGCATTTTAATGTTATATTTAAATGAAGCCAATCTTTAATAGTAGTAGATAACATCTCAGTTTCTCTGTTTTTGAAATGTGCTAAATAAGATTTGTTTTCGCAAGGTACGTATAATTAACCAAAATATAAAATACAGTAATTTACAAGAGATTTACCATCCTAAGAAATAGACGTAAAAAGTTGTTAGGTAATGAATTAGCTCACCTTGCAGGTATTGCTCTTCATGTAGGCATGGCTCAGTAGCTGCAGAGGAGAAAATGAGAACGTTATATTATTTATCATTACCTAAAACTTTAATTCAATATCAATATTGAAACATAACAGTAATGATAATTATATTGGGGAAGTTTTCAACATGCAGGTGTGATATAGGATCTATCAATGTAACAACTAGCTAGAGAAAATAAGACGTTCGAACTAATAGATCAAATAGAAGACGAAGAAATTAAAAGGGAATATCTATTAAAATATAAAACATATACTAAAGTAGAATCATAAGCATGAAGAGAATATTAAAAATTTTGAAACTGAGAAGGTCAGAGATAATAATACTGGGCCTACTAGCTGAAATAAATCAGCTAAAATTGTACGATGTATACTTATTGTGGGGTTATTTTATAAAAGTAAAGGTTATTTCTATTACTAGCACTGTGAAATCGTACCTGTATTTGCTCTTGTAAGAATCTAACATAGTTGATTGTTTCCCACAGAACGGATGCCGTATCAGTCTAGACAAGTTAGAGAATGTTCGATCAGAGATGATATCCGAGTTGAAATAATGATAATAATACTTTGGTTAATCTAATATAAATGACAATGAGCACACTTGGAAAATATGAAAAGGGGTTAAATGGGGTGGAATAAGATGACTTGATCTTGCATTTTACATTTAATATAATAGAGATTAACCCAACTTGTCATTCCGTAGCTAGCACGATTGGACCTCAGTGTTTTCCTCGTGCAGAATATTATATTCCTTCCTCTCTTTTATTTCAGAAAAAGAATTATGTGTGCGAAAAAATTACAACCCTGTGTTTCATTTTATGTAACCGTGTTTGATATTGGTACGTGATTAATATTTTTTAAAATTTCTGATCAGAAATATGTCATACATTATATTTATACAGACTATTAAAGATTGTTATTAAAGTAAAATATAAAATTTAATTTAGATAATTTCCGAACTTAAAATGGAATTATTCCTCAAGAACCTCAAAAGGACCAATATACCGAGGGTTCAACTTGCCCTTCTTCCCGTACCTCATCACACCTTTTATGGACAAAACTCTAAGTAGAACTCTCTCACCCACCATGAATGCCACATCATGATCCCTTCTATCAGCACAATTCTTTTGCGTGGAATGCGATGTACGAAGCCGCTCCTGAATCAACTTCATCTTCTCCAAAGCATCATAGACCAAATCAGTGCCCAACAACTTAGTCTTCCCAGGCTCAAACAAACCAACCAAAGAACGACATCGCCTCCCATATAAGGCCTCATAAGGAACCATATGGATGCTCGACTGGTAGCGGTTGTTTTAGGCAAACTCTGCTAACGGTAGAAACTGGTCCCACAAGCCCCCAAAATCAATGACACATATACGTAACATGTCCTCCAATATCTGAATAGTGCACTCGGACTGCCCGTCTGTTTGTGGATGAAATGACGTACTCAGCTTGACCTGTGTGCCCAACTCATGCTGCACAACTCTCTAAAAATGCATTGTGAATTGTGTTCTTCGATATGAGATAATAGACACCATCACACCATGAAGGAGAACAACCTCACAAAGATAAATCCGAGCTGGTTGCTCTGAAAAGTAGGTATTCATGACAGTTTGTCCATAAAGACCCACACAACGTCAAATCTCCTCAAGGTGTGTGGAAACAAAATACAAAATCCATAATGATACGCTCCCACTTCCACTCCAGAATATCAAGCCTCTGAAGTAAACCACCCGGTCTTTGATAGTCATACTTCACCTGCTAACAGTTTAAACACTGAACCACATACTCCACAATATCTTTCTTCATCCTTCTCCATCGTAGTGTTACTTAAAATCATGGTACATCTATGCAACATCCGGATGAATGGAATACCGCGAACTATGGTCGTCCTCAAGAATCGGCTCCTGCAACCCATCAATATAGGGCACAAAAATTCGGCCATGATGTCTCAACACCCCGTCATCACCAATAGTCACCTCATTGGAATCACCGTGTTGCACCATGTCCTTAAGGAAAAGCACATGGGAATAATCATACTGACGTGCCTTGATGCGCTCAAACAAAGAAGACCGTGAAATCACACAAGCAAGAGCCTAAACAGGCTCCGAAACGTCCAACCTCACGAACCTTTTGGCCAAAGCCTGAACATCCAAAACTAACGGTATGTCCCTAACTTGAATAGAAGCAAGCCTCCCCATGCTCTCAGCCTTCCTACTCAATGCATCAGCCACTACATTGTCCTTCTCCGGATGATAAAGAATGGTGATATCATAGTCCTTTAGTATCTCTAACCACCTATGTTGCCTCAACTGCATATCCTTTTGCTTGAATAAGTGTTATAGACTCCTGTGATCCGTGAACTCCTCACATGACATGCTGTGGAGATAGTGCCTTTAAATCATGAGCGCGTGAACAATGGCTGCCAACTCCAAATCGTGCACTGGATAGTTTTTCTCATTGGGCTTCAACTGACGCGAATCATAAGCAATTACTCTACCCTCCTGCATCAACACACACCCAAAGACAATCTACGAAGCATCACAATAGACTGCATAAGAACCTGCTACTGAAAGAAAAACCAGAACTGGAGCTGTTGTCAAGGCGGTCTTGAGTTTCTGAAAGCTTTCTTCACATCGTCAGACCACCTGAATGTGATACCCTTTTGAGTCAATCTAGTCAAAGGATCTGCGATGGATGAAAAATCCTCCAGAAAACGGGATAATAAATAGCCAAACCTAGAAAACTCCGGATCTCAGTTGCGGTAGAAGATCGGGACCAACTCTCAATTGCATCAATCTTCTTTGGATCTACCTTAATCCCCACTCTGGACACCACGTGGTCCAAGAATTTCATTTAATTAAAGCAAAACTCACACTTGGAGAATTTTGCATATAGCTTCTTCTCCCTCAACGTCTAGAGTATAATCCTCAAGTGCTTCTCATGATCATCGTGCCTGTGAGAATACACCAATATATCATCAATGAACACAATGACAAAGGAATCCATATACGATTGAAACACGATGTTCATCAAGTGCATAAAGGCTACTGGGGCATTGGTCAGCCTAAAAGACATCACCAAAAACTCGTAGTGACCATATCGAGTCCTGAAAGCTGTCTTCGAAATATCTAAAGTCCGTATCTTCAACTGATGGTACCGTGATCTCAAATCAATCTTCGGGAATACCCTAGTATCCTGAAGCTGATCGAATAAATCATCAATATGCGGTAATGGGTACCTGTTCTTGATAGTAACACAGTTCAGCTGCCTATAGTCAATACGCATCCTCATGGAACCGTCTTTCTTCTTCACAAATAGAACTAGAGCACCCCACGGTGAAACACTCGATCTGATGAAACCCTTATCAAGCAACTCTAGAAACTGTTCCTTTAATTCCTTCAACTCCACTAGTGCCATACGATATGGTGGAATAGAGATGGGCTGATTGCCCGACACCAAGTCAATACCAAAATTAATATCCCTATCGGATGGCATGCTCGGTAAGTCTACTAGAAAAATATCTAGAAATTCTCTCACTATCGGATCTGACTCGATCGTAGGAGTATGAGCACTAGCATCCCTTACAAAGGCTAAGTATGCGAAGCACCCCTTCTCAACTATGCATTGTACCTTCATGAAAGAAATCACCCTACTAGGAACATGGCCCAATAAACCTCTCCACTTCAACCTCGTCTGCCTTGTCATAGCCAATGTCACGATCTTAACATGACAATTTATAATAGCGTGATATTGGGACAACCAATCAATGCCTAATTTAACATCAAAGTCAACTATATTGAGTAATAGAAGGTTAACCCTGGTCTCGTAACCCCCGATAGTGACCAAACACAAAACGATAAACTCGGTCTACCATAATAGAATCTCCAACATGGGTAGACACATAAACATGGATACTCTAAGAATCACGAGACATATCCAAATATGAAGGCAAATAGGGTGACATATACGAGTAAGTGGAACTTGGATCAAATAAAACAGATGCTTCTCTATGACAAACCGGAATAATACTTATGATGACAACATTTGATGCAACAGCCTCAGCCCTACCAAGGAAAGCATAACAACGGGCCTAACCTCCCCCTCTATGACATTCTCTACCCGCCTGACCTCCACCCTTAGCTAGCTATCCAGGTGGAGTAGCAATTGGAGCAACGACCATATCCTGAGTACCCTATGGAGGTCCACTCCTCCAAAGCCTGGGGCAATCTCTCACTATGTGCCTAGTATCACCATACTCGAAATAACCTTTTTGCAGGTGTGGCTGCTGGTACTGAGTCTAACCCAGACGGCTAGAATAATTATTGTAGGCACCCGGTGCAGAAGGTGCATTGGAAGATGGCTGCCCAAAGTGAGTACTTTGAGGTCCCTGAATAGCTGGAGCACTACGAGTAACCTGAAGTGTAGGCTGAACTGGTCGACTGATATAACCTCTACCATGACGAGCTGAAACTGCAGAGCGGGAACCACTAAATCCTCCTAAATCTTGAGGCTTCTTGGCCTCCCTATCCTCCATCTCTTGGACACAGATACAATCCAACCTCCAAGTGATCTCCATAACCTACTGAAATAGAGTATCAGTCTAAAACTCCCGTGCCATTCCAAATCTGCGACCGTAACCATGCCCCTCAATAAATCTGCGGATTCTCTCCCTAATATTATAAACCAAAGAAGGTGCATAACGATATAACTCGTTACACCTGATAGCATACTCAAACACGATTATAGTCCTCTGGCGTTACTGCTCGAAATCTGTGTGCAACGCATCCCTAAGGGTCTGTGCAATGCACTCCCCAAAAACAAATCAGTGAAATGAGCCCAAGTATGTGGCGCTGCGCCAGATGTCATAATCTCTTCATATGTTTGCCACTATCTATATGCCGACACCGTCAGCTGGAAAGTAGTAATATCGACTCCGTTCACCTCCACTATGCCCATAGTGTGTAGAAAATATTGGTATAGAACACCATGTGCATCCTCAGAAGATACATAATTGAAAGTAGGCGGAAAATACTTCTTGAACCTCTCAAGCTTCTTCTTCTCCTCCTCTGATGCCACTGTCCTGACCTCAGACTGAATCGCGATCACAAGCTACACCAACATAAAACTCGGATCCTGATCAACATGGGCGTGATGCTATAGAGTACGAGTGTCTGGTGTCTGAGCTCCTCCCGTAGCTTAAGAAGTAGCTGGTGCAATTGATTTCAATCCCGCCTAAGCCAAGGTACCGAACATGCTCATAAAATGCGCCAAAGTCTCATGAAGTCAAGGGGTAGAAATAGGCACCTCAGGTGCCTGCTCCCCAACTGGAGCTACTGGTGGCTACTTAGTCGCAGCGCTAGCATGGCTCCTTGATAAAACACGTGCTCCGTCTCTACCTGGACCTGTGCCCCGGCCTCTAGCAACACTGACACTAGGGGTAGCATCATTAGTAACTGAAGCTCGTGTCCTCGCTATTTGTGAGAGAATAGAAAGACAGACTCAATTTCCGAAATCAATAAATCTGCATGATA